ATATAACACAAAGAGCTAGAAAAAATAAATAAATACAGTGGAGAACTCTCATAAATGCTATTTCAGTTATATGGTTAAAGTTAACATACCAGTGATGTTATGATGATGGTATGTCATCTTTTTATAAAGCAAGGGGAATAGCAATTTGCCTCCTTGGTCTTTACCCCAAGTATTTAAAACACTAGTCTAATATTAAGGAAATATTAAGTTAATCTCACTTCAGAGATGGTATGCAAAATTCCTCATCAGTCTTCCCCAAAAGTATCAAGATCATCAAATCCAGGAAAATCTCAACAATTCTCAGAGCCAAGAGGAACCTAAGTAAAACTGAGGACTAATGTGGTATGTTGGGTAGGATCTTGGGACAGAAAAAAAGGATGTTTAGTAAGAGCTAAGAAAATGTGAATAATGTATTGACTTTAGTTACTATTAATATATATATCAATGTTGGTTTAGTAATGGTGAGAGATGTATATTATGAATATAAAATGTTATTGATAGGGAACATTAGGCATGAAGTATATAGTAATTCTTTACCATCTCTTTATTTTTCTACAAATATTCTAAATTTAAATGTTTATTTAAAAATTGGACCAAAATTATTCCACAGCAGAGAATGTTACTCTCCTAAAGTTTCAGTATCTCCTGTATTATTCCACATGAATATTTTCACATATGGAAAAGCTGCAACTCAGAGTTGTATAAACTATTTTGTTATTTCCACAACTTCATTTCTTTAGTAATTTTCCCATCTTCTTGCATAGGGACAGTAATAGTTTTATGATTTGACATCATTCTACAACATTTTACAAGCAGAAATGTTCTAAGTCATCATTCTCATTTGATACCAGTCTTCCTTAATAAAAGGTTGAGTGGACAGAGAATGAGCTAAAGGTATCAGTGAGGGAGGCAAATAAGATAAATTGAACGTACCCCTTGATGCTGACAAATCTGGTTACAGTTATTGTAATGTGCATGATACCTATAAAATACCTTGCAGTGGTAGAGGATTGCTGCCACTCACAATTTGTGCATCATCATTATGTCCCCAGGGGCTGTCAGTGTCCCCACTTTCATAAGCTTTACCCATGTAATGCAAAGATGTTCTTGTCACAGAGGAAATTATTCTGAACTATTCTGAGCTCCGAAGTGATGTTATTCTCCCATTCTGAACCATTATTTTAAAGGAAATTTTTAGCCTCTGAGAAAACTGAATTTGAAAAACAATGGCATTTGTTAAATCAAACAGTTTTTGAAAGCTATATAATTTATTTAACATTGATGGTTGCTAGTAAATATCAAAATATTTCACCTTAGGCTAGTTATGTCTGTGTTGATTTTTATTTGATAGCTTCATTTTGGAATGGTTGATTGTTTGAAAGCATTGATTCAATTTTTAAAATATGTGCATCTATAGATGAAATAAACTGAGTTTTGAGTAATACTATATATATATATATGCCATTCATTCATTCATCTATCCATTTCTTGATTATTTATTAAATATCTGTATGCTAAGCAGTTTTCTACCCCAGGAAACATAACAGTGAACTAAACTAAATAATCCCTTGCCTTTGTGGATCATAATGATAAATATAATTTTCTATTTCTATTTTTCTTATTATGAATAGAAAATCGGCCATACCTTCAATTCATTAGGTGAAAACTGCTATTTTTAGGAAATGTGCTAATCTAAAATGATATTTGTATTTTAGTAAAGTGAGCAAAGAACTTTGAAGACTTAAGTTTGCTTTGTATTTACACTACTATATAATGCAATAAATGTACAGTGGTAATAGGAAAATAAGATAATTTATTCCTGAACAAATCCATTAAAAAATCTATTGTTCTCCTTACTCCTCTCTTACTAATTTAGTAAATTTACTGTTTTGTTACAAATGCTACAACGGACCAGGGGTCCAAAGCTTATTCTTAACCTTTTGCCATATTTTTTTTTTTGGATGCTTTATCCTCAGTGCTAACTACGACATGACTATCCTCACTGGAAATCAATAGGAACTAACTTCAAACTTATACTAGAATGTTACTGTGAGAACTGCCAGTCAATTATTGTTTCCATGGAAGTAAACAAACTGCATTTCAATACTGCATATGGACTATTTGGGCTTTTTTATGCACACATTGTATCCTATAGTATTAAAAAAACTTTGTGAAACTGACATTTTAAGAAAGGAAGACAAAGCTGAGAATGTGCATTCTCTGCACCAAAATATCACCATTCTCTGAAATTAAGAGAATAAAAATTGGTATATAAAACATTAACTACTGTACTTAAATATTGCTCTATTACATATTTTATATAAATTTGTAATTTTATTGAAAGAAATATATTTTACTCCAAATTTATGTTTTTAGTTTGTTGTCATTGATCAAAAATGACAAAAAATTATTCATTCTGCACATATTCTTTGGCATCTTCTCTGTCCTAGACATTGTTCTAGATGCTAGAGATTCAAGAGTGGACAAAATAATCAATATTTCTGCCATTATCAAATACATTATAGTTGGAAGGATTGAAACAAACAAAAATATACTTAAGTTATGTAGTATGTCAGGTGGTGATATATAACAGCTATGGAGAAAAACAAGACTAAAGAAGCAAAAGGAATGTAGAGGTGATGGGAGATGAGAGTCACTTACTAGAGTAAGTTGAGTAGACATGAATGACCTCTCTGAGAAACTCAGTGGAGGTGAAGGAGGGAGCCATGAGAAGCTGGGGGAGAACACTTCTGAAAGCTGGAAAGTCCTGTATACATATCCCTCAGCAGGAGTGTGGCAGGACAGCAAGTATGGAGCAGAGCTAGTGAAGAACAGCAAGAGGTCAAAGCCAAGAAGATGCTTGGACCAGACAGCTATGATCCTTGTACACACTGTACAGCTGGGTTTCCCCTTTAGTTGATGCAGAATCACTGGAGGGTTTTAAGTAGAGGGTGAAATGATCTTTCTTTTGCTTTAAAATAATCAGCCTCTCCCCCATCCCAAGTTAACTGTGTTGTTTTGGGGGTCTAACATGCATTCCTTCTAAACATTGTTCTTGCAGTCTGTTGTTCTAAGTGGTACTTCTAGTCTCCTAGGGTGGTACCTCTAGATTGTTTTCTGGAAATGTCCAAAAAAATTGAATATGACAAATCACAGTGTGTTATTTTGTCTGGACAAAGCTAATAAAAAGCAAAATAGTCAGAAGTGTGTTTGTGTGTGTGTTTGTGTATGTGTGTGTGTGCATTTACGTAATTTAAACTCACCAGGTGTTCCTTACTACTTAGATGGGGCTGTTCCTCTGATTACATAATACTCACTGTGGCTGACATCTTTTACATTATAGAAAATACTGTCTGTCTTTCTATCCACACCTGAACACATGAAATCAACCCACCATATCAGTAAATTCCACTTCTTTGGATTCAATCATTTTCAACTCATGACTTGAAAATATTTTGAAAAAAATGCATCTACATTGACCACGCACAGATGATTTTTCTCATTATTCCCTAAGCAATAGAATGTTTCAATAGAACGTTTACTATTTATATAATATTTACATATTATTACATGTTATAAGAAATATAGATAAGACAAGTATATGAGATATATGTATGTTATATGTAAATGTCTTGTGCTGCTAAATGAGAACTGAGAAATTCATTATTTAGTGACTTTGTAATGTGTGAACATCAAAGAGTGTATTTAACATAAACTAAGATATCTGTGGCTTTACTAGTCAACACAAGGACCCAATAATCAGTCTTATATGTGTTACAAATAACTATACTATATGCCATTTTTATAAGGATTTGATCATCAGTGCATGTTGTTGATTGCAGTCCTGAAACCAATTTTCTGTGCATGCTGAGGGATGACTGCATATAAACACACACATATGATAGTTTATGATAGTTTTTCCTGTGTCTTTTATAAAAGGTAAACCCTGCAAAAATAAAGGTAACCTACATCAGAAAAGATATTAGTCAATTCTTTACCACAACAAACCCAAAGTCTATACAAGTCTCAGCAGATTGAAAAAATGGACATTGACTCATAGATCCAGATGTTTTGTTAACTCTCATATCTTAAATGTTTGTGAAATCTCATACACATTTTCTATTTTTATTAGAAAAGCAGTTATCTCAGACTCTAAGCAGATAATAATTAACATTGCAAGTGACTGTGATATAATGTAATTGGGGGGGAAGTGGAAATCAAAGAAATCATTTATTCTCTTTGCTGTTGATTTCAAGATATATGGCATATTTAGTAACATTTTAAGGAAAACTTTGACTAGATTTAATATATGAATTTATTTACAACTACAGGACCTAATGTTATAATAATAAATGTTCAAGAGCTTTAACGTTGTGAAAATGTGGTAATACAGGTAATCATGCATCGGTACTATGCAGAGTCCATACATTAAAAAGAATCCATAAATTTTAGAAACAGAAGGTACATAAAGTCTTTTTTCTATATAAAAGTAAATTATTTTATACATCTTTATGAAATGTATTGAGATAATGAAGACCTAAAATTCTGTGTTCCTACAGTTTTATTATGAGACACTTCACAAGGTGGTTAGCTAGTTTATATTAATAATTTAATAATCTTATTTTGTTTTTTGGTACCAGAGATTGAACTCAGGGGCCCTTAACTACTGGGTCATATCTCCAACCCTTTTTATTTTTCAATTTGAGACAGGGTATCACTAAGTTGCTTGGGACCTTGCTAAATTGCTAAGGCTGGCTTTGAACTTGCAATCCTCCTGCTTCAGTTTTCCAAACCTCAGGGATTGCAAGTGTGTGCTACACCTGGAAATCTTTAACACCTTATATAGAGAAAGTCAAATTGTTGCCAGATTAAAAGAAAATTTAATCATTTGTGATTTTTATGATATGATATCCTAAAATGCTAATACACATAATACACAGAAGAGGTTATATTTCAGGGCTGTATTAATCATGATATTCTTTATTTGTATTCTTTTGCAGCCCCCTCTCCAGTCACCAATGTGAAAAAGGGGAAAATTGCAAAAAACAGCATTTCTTTGTCTTGGCAAGAGCCGGATCGCCCCAATGGAATCATCCTGGAGTATGAAATTAAATATTTTGAGAAGGTGGGAATAACAGAATTAAAAATGCCCTTTCCGTTGTTTTTCCATTTTAGCAACCATAATTATCCAATTTGTAGAAGAGTATGTTGCACTTTTACGTGTAAATCAATGACAATTGATTCTGCAGTCATGATGATTGAGGCTAGATGTGTACAGGGAACACTCTATTCATGTTCTGCTGCAAGTAATTTATGCTCCTGGATACCCCCAGATAGTCTAGTGTCAGCTTAACTAGTTTCACAGCCCATGAAAGATGAAGTCATAGGACATTTTGAAAGTGTTGAATGCTCTTAAGCTGTTGCTTTTCAGTAGCAAATGCAGCATGCTATGAGGAATACTGTGTGTACTGACAGCCAGTAAATTGCCACAATACTATATGGTTAAGGATGGCTGGGTAGGTGAGGCATGGGTGACATAGAATTTTTTCAGTGTCCTAACATGTATCTAACACTGTCATGTAAATCTTACATTAAAATTTGAGGCTACTAAATTCTTAGAAATGCATTTCTTACATTCCTTATATTTTCTTGATTTTCTCTCTTTCCCTAAATTCTTTCCTAGGTTCACTGTTTTGTATTTCATAGTTAATTGTTGAGATCTTAGGATAGTAATCATCTTCTTCTTTTTTGAATCCACAATCAAATAAGCTATAGATAGTGGAATCATATGGGTGAGAGCTAAAGATAAACTTTAAACTTCTAAAGCTGGACAAGAGTATGTGACCAAGATATGTAGCCACCATTAGTCTTCCACCATATCTTATTATAGTGTGAGTTTTGCACAGCCAGGAACTGAATGACATATATTCCTTAGAACAACCTGAATTTTAACAAAGGGGAAGGAGCTAGATATATGTGCCCAAGCTAGCTTCTAAGAGGTGAACTGGAGACCTTGAACAGAAAGTGCTATTTCAATTGAAATACAAGTGGAAAATAACACAGACATAGTGTGAACAAATAGATCCCCAAAGAGAAGCTCATTTTTTTTCCCCAAAAAGCACAGAGACATCACTCCTTACTTTTTAGGAAAGAACAAAGAAATTTGGAGATAGTACAAAAAGTTACTCAACAATACTCAAGGAAATTGCTCAACTTAAGATAATGGAAAAAAGTGGGGAGAGGACAGTGGTTCTTTTCATCATCATATAGAACACTAGTGAAAACAACTTAAAAGTCTAAGATTTTAGGCATATGCATAGAAAAAAGGTTCAAGTAAATATGTCAAATTTTAATTTCTCAGAGTATTATAAAGATTTTAAAAACTGCTTCCTTTGTTCATAAATTCAGCAACTAACTAGGAAAAGACACAACAAAGTATAAAACAGTAGTAGGGAGCAGGGAGCAGGAGAGCTATCTACATGTAGTTTCTATAATTTGAATGCCTCAGCAATGTTCATATATTGATTTCATTAGTTGTTTTGTTTTTGTACTACTGGGAATTGAAACTAGCTTGACGCATGCTAGGCAACTGCTTTGCCACTGAGCTACATCCTCAGCCCCCATATATTTATTTTGTTAATAATTGAATTGTCAATTGCTACTTTTGAAATAATCATCTTTTTACAAATGACTTAATGATAGCATTACCTACATTAGATCATTGGGGAGTATAAATGATGATACTTAAATTTCACAAAAATATGTTTCCCAAATGTATTATTCACTGAGAGTGCTCCAAGAAAATACTTATATAACAACCTATATTGAGATATAGTTTACAAAGCTTCTTATTGACAAAAATGGAATTAATGTAGTAGAATGTAGTAACATTAATATTCCTGACTGATTCATTTTTGTCTGTGATTGTACTCAAAAAAAGCATGCAGTTTTCAGAGAATTACAATGTAAATACTTACTCTATTAAAAATAATTTGTAAAATTAATGTTACATTTATATTCCCTAATTAAGTTTTTGTAAGACTTATTTCTCTATAAGCATGAAAATGTATGTATAATTTCACACACACACATATACATATATTTGCAAACACATGTTAAATTCAGCTGTATGTTCTCTAAAGTTAAAATTTTAATTATTATTAAAGTGGATTTTCAAGAAAGCTGAAATGCATCATGAAAATTTATAACAATTAAATGGCAAAAACTCTGTGTTTGAATATATTCTTATGTCTTAGATGAAAGAAAATTTAACAATAGGAAGACAAAGATTTTGTTTGCCTCCATTTTTTTTTCTAGTAAATCAACCAACTGGACTAATGAATGACTTATTTTATGCCAAAAATAAGAAATCATACTTTTTCCTCTTATCAGTAAACTTTTATTATTTTTGTTACCAATTCCCACCATATATATATAAAATGTTCCATTGGATATTCAGAAGGAACAAGGATTTAGCCCTCTTTTTTTTCTTCAAGTTGCTGCTTCTATAAGAATGAAGAGTTAATCAACAAGTGACAAGCAGAATTCCTTTTCTATTAATATTTCTTCTAGTGTATTTAATCCATGTGGAGGAATGATTGTCTTTAGAGATCAAATTTATTTTTGGATTATATTTATTTTAAAATGATTTTGTTCTTTGATCAAGCCAGATTACTGAGCACACCCATGCACACACAAAAAGATTTAAAAACAAAAAAAAACACTTTTAGGAAAAAGAAGAAAAAAATACAAGGATAATGAGCTTTTATAAAATGTATTGAGGTGGGGGTCTTGGTAGATTTCCAGAGCTCATTTAGAACCTTCAAAATGACACCACCATTTTATTGAATGGCTTTTGGCCAGACACAGGTGGCAGAGCTTTCCAGGGCACATGCATTTGCCAGCTGGCATTTCTGCCTGTGATTGCCTTGCTCTAATAGAGGTCATTGGGCTTCTCTGCTCTGGTGTGGTAATGGGCCTATTGCCATCCTTTAATTAAAGGCAGAGGAGAAGGGAAGCTGCCCCTTAGCAGGGTGTTTGCCAGCTGGCTCCTTGTGCTGAGTCCCTCCCCTCGCTACATGTGAACAGTGTTTGCTAAGCAGCTGGGGAATGTAGCTCATTTGCTCAGCTGGGGCAGGAAGGCAGCAAAAGCCAATGCCCTAACCAGGGATTTGGAAGCCTGGTAACTGTGGGTGTTGAAGAGGTATATACAGAATTTGTGAGATGAAGAAAAGTATAACATAAGAGTATTTTAAAGGAGTGAAATAGAAAGAAATTTTGGAAGATATTTAGATCATTAATAACATGTATTCATTGGTCTTGATCTCTTAGATATGTTTTGCTCAATTCTCTTTAATAGTTGCATTCAGCTAACTCAGCAAGACAATGAATAATTATACTCTAGATAAGGAACAATTGAGATATAATGTTAATAATTAAATAATGCCAGAATGTTGTCTTTTTGTGAAATTTGAATTGCATCTCACATTATTTCACAGAGTAGCATTTCAGTTTTCTTGTAATTCTGTTTCCCTTTTTCCAAAACTAATAATTCCAAAATTTTTTACAAAACGTACTCATTATACCTTTAATAGTAAGGATTTACAACCATGCAAGCTTTTAAAATTTGTTTTGATTTTTTTCCTTTGCAGCAGAAGAATTTACCATCATTTTATGTGTTAAGAATACCCAAATTAAGTTAAAAATTCTATGATATTGTGGAGATTATACTTGGTGCTATGTGTTTTATTTCTATCATATCTCCTCCCAGTTATCTTGATAAATAGTTTCATCACCACTGTAAAGAAAAAAAAATGGCTCCAGAGTTGGTACCCAAATTTGCAAATATACTTGTTATGACTGAAATTCTAACACTGTTATGTCTGCACTTTTAAAAAAACTTCCCATTATATGTGCTAACATTGTGTGTAAAATCCATAATTATATCAAATTTATAAAAATCCCACATTACTTTTGGCTAGATTTTTTTCCCAAGTTAAATTCCTTTTTATCAATTGGAAATGATATCAATAACCAGATATTTAATCATTTCTTACTGAAAGCTACTATTTTAATCATAACCAAGCTGGGACGTAAATATTAAACTGAGTAATATTGAGAAATAGTACACAATATTATCAGGTTTAGTGAGTCAAGAATATGAGTATTCTCAGAACAATCAGTAACTAAAATAGGTCATAAAAGCTATTTACAATATTTCAAAGGAACACATCAAGAAATCATCTGCTTTTTACTGCTCTCATCCTAGCATGTAGAAGGGACAACAGAGCTCATAGGAGAAAGAAGATCAATAAATGTTTGTTGATGAAAAAAATGAAATTTTGAGGGACAGTTTTTCAGGATTTTGCAGGATTTACCTATTTGAAATTCCTTGCAAAATTGAAATAAAATTTCCTAAGCCTTTAAAAGACTAGACACTTAAATTAATCTATGCATTAAAAAAGTAAAATTAGCCATGTGTCTAGTATGAACTCAAAAACTTATTTCAATTAGAAATTAGACCATTCTTATTTAGAGAGTAATTTGGGTATACTTAATTCTGAGATATTTAATATGCTTAAACATATTAAATAAGGAACAGTAACTTGCTTAAAAATAAAGAAGTCCTAAGTCATTTACTTTAGGTAGTATTGGTGGTGGTATAGAAAGTGGCTAGAAGTCAACTTTGGCATACTAAATTATGAAAAAAAGAGAAAACATTTAAAACAATAATTATGAAAATTAAAAATGTATTTTGGTTTATTATGTGTTTTCACACATATTATGCGTTTCGTTCTTACAACATTTATGTGAGAAAATTCAAGCAAAAATTCCTACCCCAAGTTGTACAGATAAATAAACTTGATGATAAAATTAAAAATTAAACTGCTGTGTTTTAGCCAGTGATTTCAACATCTACTCTAAAGCCAATGAGTAACCTCAGAGAGCTTTGGAAGGTTAGCATGGACTTCTGTGAGTAGCCCAAATTGGGACAGTTTATCTTTTGTTTAAGCTTCCAAACTTGTTTTTCCAGTCATTTCTTTCCTGCTCTATCTCCATTCAGTATTTTCCATACCCCTTGCATACAATAAGAATTTTTAAAAGGAAAATAAAAAGTATTTTTTTATTTGAGTGTTCTCTTTAATGCTAACTATTTAGGCATAGTGAATTGAAATAAAAATTCTCCGTTACAGTACTAATTTCTCCCCTAATAATTATAATAATTATAATTATTTTAATCTAAATATAATTAAAAATTTAATTCACTGAAATTTTAAAGCTTAAGACTAAACATATATGCAATACTGTCATTTTTCCTCTATGAAGAGGCAACATGTTAGATACATTCCAATAATACATTTTGAGAAAAACCAGCATACATTAATAATAATAAAATAAAATCTGGAAATAATCTCCTGCAAAATTGCCTTTTAAGATTTTTAAAAATTTGTTTTTGTCAAGGGCATGAGCATATATTATGGATGAGTAGAAAGCATTTTACTTTCAAAACCTCAAGTTCCAACAACATTGTAAGATCATATTTATATATATATATAACATAGTGAGGGTGTATGAGATTTTTCCAAAATAGGTTTGAGCTAATAGAAAGTTCATTGGTTTCTAGTTCATTTCTAATATACATTTCTAAGTTTTGTCATTAGTAATTCATATGTCGAATTTTTTATTGTATGTACATGTGCAATCCAAGGACCAAGAGACCAGCTACACAATTATCAAATCGAAAGAGACCACTATTACTGCAGAGGGCTTGAAACCAGCTTCAGTGTATGTCTTCCAAATTCGAGCACGTACAGCAGCAGGCTATGGTGTCTTCAGTCGAAGATTTGAGTTTGAAACCATCCCAGTGTGTAAGTCATTTTAATTACTGTCAACTCATGTCTCTGTAATGGTTAACAGAAAAGAGTCAGTGGATCAATACCCTCCCTGGGCACTCTGTCAGTTTCACTCTCCTTCCCTCTCTCCCAGGCGTGACCCCTTCAGGTAGGAAGCATCTGTCATGCTGTTATGGTAGGTCAGCAGGTTAACACTTGGGGTCCCGCTCCTCATTGCATTTAGTCCTTTGGGACATGGTATATCAGGAGATCCTTAAGAAATGTTTAAAGCTTGCATCTAAAGACTTTGTTTCCACTGCTGCCATACTTTATTGAATTATTGCCATTTACTTTTTACGTGTTTTGTTGAACTATGCTACTTTAGTTTAAGAAAAGAAAATTCCTAGGCTTTCTTGATGTTGAATTTGGCAAGAAAATGGTGCTCTCAGTAACCTATCTGCTTTCTTAAAAATATATTTATTAAATATTTTGCAGTATCTTAGAGTGGAGAATCTGGAAATGTTTCCCAAATTCACTTTTGGTATTCTTTTATTTTCCCACAAAATTGCATATTTTTTCCTTTTAACTTCAACAAAAAATAGAGATTACTAATTTATCCTAAAGATAAAAGCAAGATTGGAAAAAATTAATAACTTTACCTTTTTATAGATGAAAGAACGAATACTATTAAAATTTCATTATGAAGAAAATAACATACAGGAATGCTGCAAAATGTCAAGAGTGTATATATATACTTTTTAAAGCCAAATTATGTAAAAATTAGTGATTTTAAAATGAAGAAGACAAAAATGAGAATTTAGTTATTGGTTTGCTTTTTTAATTATTAAATGATTATTAAAGTAAATATTCATAACATTTAGAAAATCAAGATATACTTCTAATTAATATGTTTAACTAAATTATGAAGAAAGAATTTTTTCAATAGTGTAAATGGAATAGTGTCATGAAAAAATTATCAATGAGGCAGGTATATTGGTGCACGTCCGTAATCCTAGTGGCTGGGGAGGCTGAGGCAGGAGGATTGCAAGTTCAAAGCCAGCCTCAGCAACTTAGCAAAGCCCTAAGTGACTTAGCAAGACCCCATCTCAAATTAAATGAAATAAATAAAAGAGCTGGGGTTATGGCTCAGTGGTTAAGTATCCCTGGGTTCACTCCCCAGTTCCAATAAATAAATGAACAAATAAATAAAATAAAAATTATAAACTATTTTTTTCTATGCAAAAGAATATTCCATGACTGATATCTAGTTAAAATCACTGGGGCTGGGGATGTGGCTCAAGTGGTAGCGTGCTCACCTGGCATGCGTGCGGCCCGGGTTCGATCCTCAGCACCACATACCAACAAAGATGTTGTGTCCGCCGAGAACTAAAAAATAAATATTAAAAATTCTCTCTCTCTCTCTCTCCTCTGTCACTCTCTCTTTAAAAAAAAAAAAAATCACTGAAAAAATCACTGAAATTTGAATCTCCAGTGCTTAACTTCCAGAAAAGTTTCTCAATAGACTTGGTAATAATATTACCTTCAATGTAAAATAGGTTTTTGATGAAAAAAGACATGCTATATAAGATGGCCATCCTAAAAAGCCTTCATTTTTTTTAAGGTATCAATACTAATGCACACTTGCTTATGTAGTCTCCCAATTCTGGGTACAAAACTATATATAATATCAAAATATGCTTGAATGCTTTGATAACTATACAAGTGAAAAATTCATTTTATATTAAATTCTACTCAGTTGTAGATGTTGCCATATTCATGAAGTAGTTTTTCTTCTGACTTTTCAATTTTCTACCCTGTACTTTTTTTTATTAAATACTCATTTCCAGGCATGCCAACATTGATCAATCAGAGCACTAAGAGAACTAATATATATTCAGGTCAGTTATACTTTTACAGAGTCTCACCTGAGGTCATATGCTTTTCAAAGTTTTTCTAAATCCTCTTTAGAGAAAAAGAAATATCATGCAAATATTTTTCCCACAAAAGTAGAGTTTAATGTTATTGTTAATAAATAATGACAATGTTTTAGGGCTGACTGCCTCACAGATAGTAGTATAAATTCTTACTTTTACTTGAGTGTGTGTTCATATATGTAAGCATTTGGAGGCATTTCTATTTTGTAGAAAGTATGTATTATGTATCATTCTCATTTGATCTTTACATGAAAATTCTTTCTATATAATTCAACACAACTGTATAAACGTCTATTACATAATAAGATCTGTTGGGTTCCAGAGAAATCAACATGAGTAATACACAGGAACTACCCTTGAAAGTACAAAAATATAGTCTGTTTAAGAGAAAAGATATTTGCTTCAAACCCCATTTTAGAATAATTTTGTTTATTGGTTAAAAATTATTTTCACGGCTTCCTATATATCAAAATTCTTTTTGCTCAAAGTATTGAGAGTGATTCAAATACTTGTAAGGTACATGGCCCCTTCTTTCTCACAGTTTGTAGTTTTTTGGTAATCAGAGAAAATGCATGATAATTAAAACAATAATTCCATTTAGAATTTCTATAAAATTTGTGTTATATGCCTTTCACTTCACAAAAATTATTGTAGTCTTTTGTGAAATTGTGATAATTATTTTATTGTGCATCATTTACTTAATATCATAAATTAATTTTAACATATTATTTTCCCTCCCCAAAAGTTCTCCAAATCTCCAAAGCAAGGATTATAATTTCTTAAATGCTCTTGTATTTTTCCCCTTAAGTTTATCAGTGATTTTCATTTGGTGTTGAAATTTAAGAATACTGGCTTTAAAGAGTTATTAATGGTAAAGAAAATCTATTTCATCTTTCAAATAAGGACAGAATATTATTTCAAATTTATTTAAAAAGAATTTTTTAATTGACTAATTCATAATAAAATGCTGACATGTTATTCATTTGGTTATATTTGAAAATTTATTACAGGTCTTTATAAAACTTGACTTCTTTATTTACTAGAGGTGAAAGTGTTATGAAGACTTTTCTCTTTTATCCATTTATCTTCTAAGTAAAAAATATGGGTCTAAACCCAAATGTAAATAGTGGTAAAAACAGGACTGCAAATATATTTATTTTGGAAATACTGTTTTATATGAGAATTTGGGATAGGAAATCTCCACTCATTTTTTTTCTTTCCCAAACTTTAGTTATTATCCATATGCTTAACAGTAGTGATCAAGAGAACACACACCTATCCCCACTTACACACCAACAAATATACCTTCCATGAATGATACCAGTCAGCTAAAATAGTTAATTCATTTTTTCAGTTTCTTTTAACTTGTCTTAAAACTTTGAAATTCTCACTGAATCTTAATCTCTACTTGCCAAAGATTTACTAATCTCATTTTTGTTTGTTGTGTAGTTTTAATGTATCACTTTCTTCTGTTTTTAATCTATGGAACTCAAATCTGTTTAATCCAAATGCTGAAACAATGCTATTATGATTTTATATGAAATTTTCTTGAGGTAAGTGTAGATTCAAATTCAATTGCATGCAATCATACTTAGAACTTATTAAGCACGTTGTTATTTTCTCCCCATGGTAACTTCTTGCAAAATTATAATGTAGAATCAATACCAAGAGATTCACATTGATACTATACACAGATATCAATCACATTATTTTGGGGTTTTTTTCAGTCACATTATTTTGGACTTCTTTGTAAAGAAGTGTTTGTGGACATGTGTGTTTTCAGTTCTATGCAATTTGGTCCTTTGTGTGAGTTCACGAATCTATCAAAATACTGAACCAATGCACACATGTTGGAAATCCTTCTTGTTGACCTTTTAAAACCATATCCACTTCTTTCAGGAACAACTCTATTCCATGAAAACAAACAAACATGGAATACATTAATCTGTCCTCCATTTCTAACATTTTTGCTATTTTAAAAAATTTTTTTGAATGGAATCATACAGCGTGTGACTTTTAGTTTGGAATCTTTTTTCCCCCACTCAGCATAATTCTCTAGAAATAAATACAGGTTGATGTATGCTTTCAATTTGTTAATTTTGATTGCATAGTGATATTCTGTGGTATATATACACCATCTCTTGAAGAACATCTGACTGATTCCTGTATTTGCTTTTGCAATCAACATTTGTGAAAAACTATGAGCATTTGTGTACATATTTTGGTGTAGATATAAATTTTCATTCTTCTGGGCTAAATCCCAAAAGTATAATCACTGGTTCTATTATGATAATTATATGTTTAGTTTTACAAGAAATTGCTGAACTCTTTTCCAGAGTAGCTGTATTATTGTGTATTCCTATGAGCTACAGAAGTCATTCAGTTTCTCCACATCTTCATCAGCATTTGATGTATTCATTTTTTATATATATTTATTTTTTAGTTGTGGTTGGATAAAATACTTCTATTTTATTTGTTTACTTTTATGTGGTGTTGAGGATCGAACCCAGGGCCTCTTACGCGCTAGGCAAGTGCTCTACCATGGAGCCCCAGCCTCAGCCCCCGCCTCCATGTATTCCTTTGCTAGTCATTTTGAATAGGTAGATGGTGTATCTTATTGTGATTTTCATTTGAATTTTTCTGAAAGCTAATGCTATTCAACATCTTTTCATGTGCTTATTTACCTGTCATACTGTTTTAAAGTTTTCCACTGACTCCAGAACTCATATTATTTGTCAAAATTGTAATTTTGTTCAGTTTTTTCTGATGAAGAAAGTGAGTAGATAATAATGCTGTGAGAAAAAGTACTCAAATTCTCAGCTCAGTCTTCAAAAGCATTTATAATCTGGCTCTCAAAAGTTTGTTGAGTTTTAATGATTAATTGTTCCAATATGTACATTAGGCATTATATAAGTTTACAACCAGGAACTAGGAAGCAATGGAAAGTAAAAAATGTGATTTCTCAACATACTACACCTGAAAGTTCCTAGGAATAATGAGAGTAAATAATGACTTAAAAAGTGACATTTACTAAAATATATTAATTTTTATAACTGATAGACATTTTAGTATAGTATGTTGCATTACTTCAAACTTTGCTTCTCGGTGTTTTCAAAATATTCCTCAGCTCTTTTTTCAATATTACATCAGCAACTGACTAATTTTTAACAAATATACATAAGTAAATGGGAAACAAGAATGCCTAAATATTCATATTTTTAAAGAATATAAATTTAACAATATGTTAAAATGGAAATCATGGCTCATATTAGACCTAATTTTTTCCCACCACCAAATAAGTGTAAAGAACTTGACAGCCCTGTAAATTCTCTTTTCATCTTACTTAAAATAAGAATGATAATATTAATGCCCTCAGAGCAAACAAAATCCTGATGAAATTTTTTCTATTAGAAATATATCATAACTTAATCATTACAAGTGAAATTTTCAATAATTAAGAATTACCAAAGAACTTAGAAAATTATTAATTAAAAAGTTAACAAATTAAAATGTATTTTAAAAATTATTCATCTTTTTAATTGCATATTATATAAAAAATCTGATTTCAGTGTAAATTAGATAAAAACATAGAAATACTTATAAAATTAAGCATTAATTAGAATTACTCAATAATTTCACAAAATGTATTGATTTAAACATCTGAAAATTTTGGCATAATATTAGTTATTATAATGTAAGACATTTTCACATACATAAGTGTATTTTAACCCATTGTTAAATTAGCTCTTATTTAATAATTAGCTCTTGAATAATGATATTTATTAAAAATAAATCATTTGATACTACCAGGAACCTTGTTTGCAAATTTAATACTTTTCTTAGTTTCAGGTTTCCCCATTTTTATCTCTACTTCTGATTAATCATGCCTTCTTCTTTTAGAACCATATCTGTGAGGGTTACCAAATTGTCACATTGAGGCCAGAAATATTTCTTCTCATCAGGTTAGAAGGGTTTTTGAATGCTAGACTGAATTTTGGAATGTGCTTCCATAGGTACTAGGAATCTGAAAATATCTTGGTCAGGGAAACATAATCAAAGTTATGGTTTTTGATATTTAATATACATACAGAGGAGAGAAAAAAAAACTACAAACACTCTTATAAGATTTTAAACATAGAGATTTGAATCAAAGAAATTAATAATTAGATAAAATAAAGTGATACATGAGGTACATCAAAAGGAATGTAAAAAAGTTTGGTTATTAATGGACAAGTAAAGGTTAAGAAAGAATTAATATAGTTAAACTAGAAAGAGATCAAATCAGTTGGTTTATTGGTTTGATTCATGTTTTATTTGTTGATGTGTTTTTGTTAATGCACATGGGGCTGGACTTAGTATAGGCCTTAATATTAAACATTATTCTTATGTGTCAGTAAATACAAATGAGGGGGAAAGGTGAAAAGTAGAGCAATGCTTTAGAGAGAAATAAGCATTGGAGTTACGAATTTTTCATGTCACCTGATGCCTTGAGCAAAGAAGTATCTATGAAAGGGAGTGAGAAAGAGAAGCAGGGAGAGAAAAAGATAGAGGTGAGAAGGATCAGGAATGAGTCTTCAGCAAGTTCACTCACTTGGAAGATGGGAGTGAGAATGTAGAATCAACAAAAATTACAAAGCAGTGCTTCAAAGGGGCAAAACCAACCATCTTGTCAAATGCCATAGGCAGCAAGAAGAATACTGATTCTACAATGAAATATATATGTTGTATAGAGTAAAATTTCTTATTACAATACTGTGTAAGGTAAAATGAGCACTAATTGAGTTTAGCAAATATCATGTAAAAAACAATAAATAAACCTCAAAGGCAGAAGAAAAGTTGCACAGAGAATTTAATAACTTGACTTTCACAAGATCAGGCTTATTCCATATAACCCAGTTAAGATGCTGACAAATAGGAAATAATAAGAATGGTAAATAAAGCAGGAGATAATAAATGGAAATCACATTCACTGTGTATTTAAGGCTGTCAGTAAAGCATTATGCTAAGTGTTTTCTATTATTATTTCTAATCTTAGCGGAAAGATAATGATCCAGAAAAAAATATTTTTATTTGAAGATTAAGGAATGAAGCTTTGAAAGATAAAATAACTTCCTTGGCCTATATGTCCATTAAATGTTGGACAATTTTTTTCAAACTCAGGTTGAGCACCAAAATATTAACATAAAATAATTTACTTTTTCCTTTTAAATTGAGATAAATCTCAGGCTAGTAAATTGCAAAGAAATAGTCTATAATGGAAAAAATAGCCTCACCTGAAGGAAAGTCTTTAAAGAACCAAGATCTTTGGAGAGAAAGAAGTAGTTAGGTAAAGCAGAACAAGATGACAGACACAGTGATGGTTAATGCTAGATGACCAGAACAATCTATTGTATAAAGTTCGGCCTTTAAAAATGCACAAAATGGGAATGGATTAACACACTGAGAAAATAAGAAATACTATCATTGTGGAGGTGATTTTATTTGGAATAAAGGGCATTCAAGCAGCAGTTTCAACCCATTCAAAGTAATATTGAACTTACATAACATTGAACCAAGTCTGCATGGTTTTCTTTAGATTGGTGTCCTCTATGAGGGTGGAGGGAGAAGGTGGTGAGTGAAGAGATAGGTAACTAAGAATAGCAATTGTAGAAATAATCCAATGTTAGAAATTAATAGAGTAAATCCTGGGTGATGGGATAATTTTTCCTTACCCTGTTTATACTACACCACAATAACCAAATTATTTATTAGAGATCTCAGCATCAGAGAACAGGAGAAATCCAGGTAAAGAGATATAATATTGAAACTATTATCACCAGAAGAAAAGAGAAAGTAAAGACATAGACTTATTTTCTAAATAGCAGATATACTAACTAGCAGTTGATAATATTTGGCTCTGAAGATTGGTCCAAAATGGTGTCTGTATAGATCAGGACAAAAATAGAGATAAGAATGTGAATGTCAAATAAAAATTATTTTTTTATATCCATTCTTTTTCAAAAAGTGATGTAAATGATATAATGAATAGTATAGGTTTCTTAATGTTTAAAATTTCTGCCTTCATAATTTTCAAAAAATAACCCTACTCATAAAATATACTTCATGATTATATTCTGGTTGAAATTATGTTGTTAAAATTATATTTTTAATATTGGTGTTTTATTTAACTTTGATGAGGTTATAGTCACATTATTTGGATTTTCAGAGAAAAAAGAATAATCTAATCAGATTTTTTTTTTCTAGAGAACAGTGGCATCAAACTCTAGAAATGTCAAATTGCATATACTTAATACCATCCTATTTAGATTAAGGTGTTAAAAGTTATTGAAGATGTTCTATTTTATCTTGTAAATTTTAGGTCCCTCAATGAATACTATGCAAACAATATACATTCATTTTTTATGATGACAAGGAAATAGTCAGTGACTTAGTAATGCTTTTGAATTTCTATTTGGAGAGTAAATATTTTCTCCTGAAGATGCCTTTTCAATTACAGATTTTTGAGAAGGGACATTATGGGGAAATCTTGGCCAAGGGTGTGTGAATTGCTTAAGCCATGAATTGATCACTGACTATTAAGTAGGTCTTACTTTGAATACATATGATCACTTTAACCACAAGCTTCCTTTTCTGTGTCTCCTATCAGCAGTTGCAGCCTCCAGTGATCAAAGCCAGATTCCTATAATTGCTGTGTCTGTGACAGTGGGAGTCATTTTGTTGGCAGTGGTTATCGGCTTCCTTCTCAGTGGAAGGTAAGATAGGAAGCTGTGATTCTGAACTTTTGCAGCTGATCTCTTCCTTACCTTGATCTGACCATTTGGCTGTTAGGCACATCCCAACACAAATCAGGCAGCAGTACATAGGTAAATAACTTCAATGTATGATGTATTTCTTAGGCCTTGTCTTGTCCATATTAGTGCTAATTTTTAAGCACACAATTTCTCTTTTTTAGGTATGTTGTCTTCATAGGAGTAGTATTATCTTGTTTTTGCTTCTTCCAGTATTAATAAAACTCTATCTGTTCTTCAAATATAGATTTTTTTTTAATTCTGAATTTTTTTTCTCTTTCAAAAGTATATGTCTTTGCCTGTTTCAATTAGGGTTTCGGAAGATCTATGACTGTTCCTCAGAGATTTTTGAGGAATAAGGTTACTAATTCTATAAAGCAGATATTCTGGCAAATAAGCATTTGGCAAAATTTCTGAACATTTTCAGCGACTACTTTTCTTTTCAGCTTCTGCAGGATTTCAACTTGTGTACATCAATCGTGTTATATACTGACTTGGAGTGAATTGCATTGAGTGTTGTATTAAGAGATACATGAAATACATGAATACATGTATTTCATGTTTACATTTTTCATTTTGAAATAAAAGAGGTAGATCCCAACAGGAAGTTTTCTAGAGGTACTTCCTGATTTTGAACTAAGTATAATCAACTTTCCTTAAAAATAAAATATAAATAAGTAAATAAATAATAAGTAGGCTCTATTCCTATAACAAACATTTTTATTTTTCCATCTTTTTCATGCAGGCTTTTTTTTTTTTAGGAAAAGATACTCAGTAGTGAGAGCTATCCATTTGAAAATTTATTTTGGTATTGTATTTGATCATTTTAGAAAAGTTGTTGAAAGTCTTCATAATATTGCTAGTCCCCTTGAACTTGCTTTTTCTTTGTATCTGAAAATTCTATTTTTTTTCTAGTCTTTGTTCATTTAAGTGTTCAAAGTTTTCTAAAGACTATATGTTGTAATCCATTACTTACTTTTAATGTTAGAAAAGTAATTTATGCATTTTCAGAACTTCTAAGAGGGAGTCAACTTGTGTTCTGTTAAGAACAGATAAGCCCAGCCCAGCCCAACCCTGGGCTCTCTTTTGTCCTTCTTATCCTCCCTCTGAAGATACCTGAGGAGAATTTCTAACTAGTGTCCTTCATTTCTGGAAAATAAGCAGAGTTACCTATTTTTTTGAATGGGTAACTATTTTTTTAACTATTTTTTTGAAAGGATAACAAGTTTCACCAAAACAAAAACAAAAACATAATCAAATAAATCAAATGCACTTGTTATACATAGAATTTTTTTGCATGAAATTTCCAGTACTTAATCTTAGATGCATAGGAGACTAAGGCAAGAGGATCACAAGCTAAAGTTCAATTTGGGCAACTTGGCTGGATCATCTCAAAATAAAAATTAAAAAGTGCTGGGAATATGGCTCAGTGACAGAGTGTTTCCCTAGCATGAATGAGGGTCTGAGTTTGATCCTCAATAACAAAGAAACCTTAAAAAAATTACTGTGTTGTATTGAGTGTACATTTTTAGATTTTAAGGAGAAGTTGTGGTATGATAGACATGTCTGTGCTATTGTAGTTACTTTTCATGGAAAATTGTATTATATACATACACTTATTCCAAACCTCAATGATATGGTTCTTTGAGGACTTTTCCAGTTTCACTTAAGGTAATGAACTGGAATTTTTTTGTCTGGACATACTCTTAATCTTGTATTACCTAGATTTTTCTCAATTAACTCAGTTAACATTTATCAAATAAAAGGAAAACTAAATGAAAATATGGCCAAACCTAATACAAATTTGGGAAACCTGAGTTCTACCAAATTATTGACAACTGCCTTCCCTATTAAAGGTGTAAGGTTGTGGAATTATTTATGTTTCTTCCTCTCTCTCCTAATGACATGAAGACTATCTTCTTTCTTTGAAATATCCACTTTTAGTCTCTCAAATAAGATAACATAATCAGGTATTTGCCTCTAAGTAATATATTTTTAATTAAAAATAATCTGATTTTTTATTTGTAATATAAATAACTTATTTTCATTGTAATATATAGAAAAAACTGATATCACTTTTATGTTACATTCATTGACGATTTATAGCACCATTTGAGCCCACAGAAGATATTTCTTGAAAATACATATTCACTGACAACTTGTATCTTTATTCAGACCAAAGAAATAATAATTGTAGGCTATTATAGCTTGAATAATGTAGAACTAATCTATTTCAAAGAAAAAAATCAACTTTATAAAATTCTAAAATATACTCAAGGATGAAAAATAAATAAAATTTAGAGATTTTTCTAATCTTTTTTAGGCTTAAGAAGATTGTGTTTAAGTGCTTAGGGAATCTTCCTACCTAGATGCAGTTCAATACAACATAGACAAGTATTAATCTTGATGAAGAATGTCTAATTTTGAAAAATGGCAAAATGATCATCTCTTTTAAAGTTTTAAGTCTTACTTAAAAGCACTTTTGGTAGAGTTCAGTTGACAAGGCCTCAACAAACTAAGTCTAATCACCCTAGGATGATTACAAATTAAACCTCTTGATATGCTCAGCATGTTGTAATTGTTCTTTGATCTTTCTCTTTTATTGGTATTGACCTTGAACATTGGTAAGTTTCTTATATCCTAATTTGGTGGGTTTTTGTCCTTTTAGATACACTATTATATGTATACATATCTATATCTGTATATATGTATATAATTTGTTTAGTCAACCAGTTTTTCTTAGATTCTCATCTCCTCAGTCTTCTAATTAAATTTTTGAAAGAGGGTTTTGCTGTATCTTCCCCCTTTGTTTTTATTTCCTTCAATTAGATTTACTTTTTTTTCTTTGTGTTTGTATATCAAGCTGAAGGTTTACATTCTGAATATTGATTACTAGATGTTCCTTATTCTAACATAAAACTCATATTTAAAGGAATTAGAAAATACAAAAATTAAAACACCTTCTAGTGTAGGGATGAGCTTTCTTCCTTGAAACTTACTTGATATAGACTTTATGGGATTAAACATTTTCTAATATTGTGTTTCTGATCCCTTATTTATCCTGTTTGTGAATTTCATTATACCCTAAGAAAATTTCAAAGTTTTATCTTTGTTTTCAATTAATTTCACAGATATATTCAGAGGCAAAATACACACAGATTACACACATGTACTCCCACCTATGTTTGTCTATGCTCTTGCACATAAACAGCAAACACTTCAAGATTTTTCTAATCTTCAAATTGGAAACAACAATAAAACAAACAAACAAACAAACAAGAAACAGCTTATGAAGTGGAGAAAGAAGGATTTCTTTTTATTGCTTGTCCTTAGACATGATTTTAAGACTTCTTTTATGTGATTTTTATGCTATGATATTTCCAACACAATAACTATAGCCTGGAAGGTGGCTTAATGCCTATAAAAGTATTATTCTGTAGGAAAATAATTTTCCCTTGTTTGTCCTAGTCATGTTCAGATCCTGTACTTGATATTTCCAACACAATAACTATAGCCTGGAAGGTGGCTTAATGCCTATAAAAGTATTATTCTGTAGGAAAATAATTTTCCCTTGTTTGTCCTAGTCATGTTCAGATCCTGTACTTGAACTAACTCCTATCTCCCTCTGTTTCCCATTCAATAATAGAAAATCATTCCATTGAAATATCTCATAGTTTCCTGGGGCAAAAATTCATCAGAAGCCCACAGACATTGTATTTGGAGATTATGTCAACCATGTCAGAAATTGTTTTAAACAAGTAGTTTTATATAAAACTTTGATTCCTTTTTTTATTACTTGAATATAATGTTAACATTTTGTCTTTTAAAATTATTTCAAGTCCTTTGAATTAAAACATCTTGTTATTTCAAGTTCTTTCAATTAAAACAGATGTAAGTGGCATGTTCTTCACAGTCATCCATTACCCAGATTTATTGAGCACCTATTATATATGAACACCTAAATAAAACTTGTGCACTGAGAATAAAAAAGTAATGTCCTTTCCTCAAAATGGAATTTTATTGTATTGTAATTTTATTGTAGTAGTTTTATGTGTTGAAGGAATTTCAAAGAACACAATTAAATGGGGCTAATGAAAAGAATTTTTCAACAAAATTGGAGTAATTCTCTTTATGGTAACATTTTTTCAATTTTGTCCAAAATTATGGTTTGCTCTACTTTGAGAAATATTTGACTTCTGATTATATAACTTGAACAGCTTGCATTTTAAAGAAAAAAAAACAATAGTTTGAGATTAAAATTTCTTGGCCAAGGAAACATTTTTTTAAGTTCATTTGAACCTGAATAAAATAATTATGCAGGTGGTTTGAATGCTTAATTAGGCAAATGCCAGAACTCTGCCTCCATCTGATAGTAAAGTATCACACTTTCCTAAGCAAGTGCTTTTTAAAGGGAATAAATTATTCCTAAACCTTCAGAGAATCCCCTTTAATGCAAGTGGCAGGGTAATAATGTTAACAATAATAAGTATAGTCTATCATCAATTATGCATGACCTACTACAAGGTACTGTTCTAAGGGTTTTACATATATTTCACAACTATGCCATGGCTCAGTACTCTATTTCTGTCTCCGATTTATAGCTGACAAAATTATCTTTTTGCTCTTCCTTGATTATTTTAAGTAAGGTCCTAATTTACCATCCCTTCCTTAGCTCTTCCTGCTGCCTAACTCCTTTGCCCAAGAGAACCACAGGACTCCCTCCTTGTTTTGTTCCTCTGCTCAGTCTCATCCTGTCAGTTGCACTCACTAAAATTATTATTCATGATTCCCTCCTTTGCACACCACAATTTTTTTTTCATATCTTTTGCTAGTTTTTGGTCTGACTCCTCAACTAGAATATAAGATACATTATGTCAAGGCAGAAGCTTGTATCTCTGCTTCTGCCCCCATCTCTCCCACCTTGAGAAAGTATGTAGAACTTACAGGTAGTTATTGGGGGTCTG